ACTTTTTGGCATGTTGGCTATAAATTAAGATTTTTTTTTTCCTGAAAGAGGAATCTTGTTTGTTAAGTGAAGAATGATGTGTTGTTTGAAGCAAGCTATATGAGAAAGAAAGTCAGGCTGTCATCTTAGAATAGATAGCTAACATTTGATCACCTAGCCACATTTCTAATTGTATTGTAACGAAGATTCTAAAACTCCTTTTCTTAAAACATTTATATCAAATATGCCAGCCTTAGAAAAATCAAGTGACAGCTCACATGACTAGAAGATACAGCTTAGATTTCAGTACCTTAGGATCATGGGAGAGGAGCCCTAAAATCAGGACATAGTATTTTGCATTGCATTACACTCTTTTGTCCATGCAAGCAGAGAATAGGTCCATGAAGGACAGAAATCCCCACAAAAGGAAAATAAATATTACTTGGGAATAGAGGCTCAGATTATTGGATCAGGAACCATTCTGAGTGCCCATCCACACACTGAAGTCAGTCAGCAGGGTACACTGGATGACTCCTATCTGTAACGTCCTAAACTATGTGCTTGGGCTTCTGCTGTGGTGACAAAATTATCTGTGACAGAGAAACCTTGCTACTATGTACAAATGAAGGCTACGCTGAGACATTAAAATTTGTCAGAGAACGTACTGTTAGGACATAGTGTCCTCCACAAAGAGGTAGTAAGAGAAGTAGCATTGTAATTATATGCAGCAAAAGCTCCACTGAATGATGGATGACATGGCCTTTCCAAGATAACTACCACAGGCCAAGGCAAATGTGTCTGGAAGTTTGGAGAGTGGAAAAGATTCAATATTTTAAATACTTAGAAATTTCTAAGGGGATTAAAATTGTTCTGTAAAGGATACATACTTAAGAGAATGTGATTCATAAGAGTAAAGTGGGCTTCAGCCAATCTGCCAATGCCGCCATTTTTCTCTATCTGGTCATTTCTAATGAAAGCAAAGAAAGGAAAGCGCAAGCCAGCTTTTCTCCTGCCGTGCATTCTGAAGTGTGGTGCCCTCTCCCGTGGTGTTCACTACCCGGAACACTTATTCTCCTTCTGGAATCTGTGCCAGCATTGCCATTTGTCAGCTTGGTCCTTGGAGTTGTTAATCCCTGTGAAGATGAGCTCTAGCAAGAAATTTTAGTCTTGAACATACCACCCATATTTATATATCAGTAGGAGTATATTACTTCAGCTTCATACTAAAGCACACAGTACAAGGGTTTGAAATAGTTTTGTACCAAATAATCATAAAGTTAGACAAATGAGAGGTCGGTTAATTCAGGTTGCCCAAAGTTCCATTTAGATTTCTTGCAAAAAAAAAATAGTAGTAAAGTTCATGAATTTGACATAGGCATTGTTAACATACTTTAAGTATTTATAGCTTGTTTACTCATTAGGCAATAATGCCAACATTCCTAGAGCTGCCTGTTTTATCTTGATTAACAAGTGTTTCCACATAGAAAAATGACGTAAGTCAACTGTTGAAACCAATTCTAAAATATGCTTTTGAAATCTGTTTTCTACTGGATACAGAGCCTGGGTTTAAGTATACAGTGGTGGGGAATCTAAGGAGTGCTCGTGTTCTTACAACAAAAAATGACATAACTGCTGAAAGCTCGGATTTCAAAACACCAAGGCATAAGGCCCCTCTTATTAGTACCATTAAGGTAGAGTTGACTCATTTAATCTCCCTTTGATGTGCTTTAGGACCCTGTATTATAGGAATTATAATTGATAATAGAGGTGTGCAGTTTCATTGATGGAAGTTTTCAATATGCTCTGGTACAGGCATGTCCAACCTGCAGCCTGTATGCCATATGCATCCCAGGATAGCTATGAAAGTGGCCCAGCACATTTGTAGATGAGAACATCATGTCACAGTGAGGAAAGGTTGGGCTCCCCTCCTGGATACTTCCATTTCATTGGTGAGCTGTGGATTATTTTATCATTTGATGCCTAGAAACTCTGAGCAATTCATATCCTTTAACCATGGACGTGAGCAGTGAAGAACTTGGTATTGATAATAAAATGCGTCTGAGAGTATGCTTTTTAAAGTGAGGAAGGCTTGGCAGGTAAGATCTCTGTAGGGCTGTGAACCATCGTGTAGTTATCCTCTTCAAAACCTTTAGATGCTAGTTAGGCATGGTGGCTCACACCTGCAATCTCAAAACTTGGGAGTCAAAGTAGAAAGGATTGCCATAAGTTCAAGGCCAGGTTGGGCTACGTTAGAATCTTGTCATCAAAGGAAAACCAAAACTAAACCCCTAGATACATTTAAATGGAATTTGTGGTGTTGTCTAGCATTCTTTCTTTTGTATGATACTTCATCTATATTTTAACTATAAAGTTAGGGCTCAGAAATGCCAAAAGGTGGGACTCTTTTTAGGTGGGGCTCAGCATAATTCTTGAATATAGAAATATTTGCTACACATTAAAAGAGAGTGACAGTAAATGAGTAGAGTGTAGCTACATAGAGAACTTGATAAAAGAGAATGATTGATTTTCAAGTTTGGTCCAAGCAAATGAGGTCTGAAGGGCTAGTCAGGGTTGCTGTGCTGGACAAATTATTCTTCTGCCAGTGGCATTTACGAGCCACTGATTATTTAGTTTCCTAACATTTACTTGTTTTTTATTTTTTTTGTGGTACTGGGGATTGAACCCAGGGGTTTCATGCATGTTAGGTAATCCTGCACCTAAGCTAGATCCCCAGCCTTTTAGAATCCTTTGGGAATTTGACACGGACTTGCACTAAATTGCCCAAGAGTAGCTTTGAACTCATTCTGTAGCTCAGGTAGGCCTTGAACCTACAATCCTTCTGTATCAGTGTCTTGGGTAGCGGGGGTTGTAAGCCTGTCATTTACCTTTACTAAAGATTCATTTTGGTTTCTCAACCCAACTCTTTCCAAGAAAAATAAATCATTGTCGAGGTCCCAGTTTCAACATGATAGAGGGAAAGTGATTTTCCATATGCTGCCATGGCCACAGGTTCTTGTGCCCATAGGCTACAGGAGATGGGCCCTGGCTTTGTTGTGTGCATGCATCTTGTATCTCACCTAGCCACACAAGGGAACATCCTAGCACCTTTTTTAGAGAGCCATTCTCTGGTCTTCCCAATTCTCTTGACAGTGATACCAGTGTGCCAAGCAACTGCACCTGCACAGGCATGTCAGTCATTTGCTTCCTGTGCCAGTTCTTTGAGCTGAGAGGGTCTGGGTAGTAGCAGCATGAGGCAGTGGGCATGTGTATGTTCCATGGCCTGGTTTCCCTTGTCAGCTGGCTGGCTGCCGAGACTGACAGGGGTCTGAGTGAGAGTTCACCAGCCTGGGCCCAGGCGGGTTCCCAGACACAGGGTGTGGTTTCCTTAGCTCACTCTCTGCTATTTGGTTGCCTGTGGCAACAGGATCCAAACAACTTGAACATGTGGTTATATATATAAAAAAAAAAAACCTGGGAATGGAACCCAGAGCAGGAGTTTGGGGCTATTCAGTTGGTGGAGGAGCTGTGGTGAGTAGCAGGCAGCTGCCCATTTATTTTCCCTCCTTCCTCTCTAAATTATACTCTGGATGTTTGCTAACTTGATAACTGTGTGTGGATAGTTTGAGTTAAAATAGTTTCAGTTCTTGTGTTTTCTGACACAAATAATTGCTGTCTGTTTACTCATGTAAATTGCTTTCTTAGTGGGAGAGAAAAATTAGCATATGTGTGAAGGAATTGGGAACTATTAGAAACCCGCATTTGGTCCCTTCCTGGTGGCAGGATTCTATAGAAAATGACTTGGCAGAGGGGCTCCAGAAGACCATTGCAGGACCATGGCTAGGGTGTGGATGGGGAGCAAAGTGAGTTTGTTCATATGAAGGGGGTGGAGGAGATTCTTGGAATGATCAGCTTAACCCTTTGCCAAAGTCATTTTTCCAGATTATACTTTAAACATTCAATATTTAGATGAGCAAATATGCCAAAATGGTAGCACTTTAGTAAATAGACTAGTCCTCACTGGCTTGCCCTGAGAAAGATTTGGTTTTGGTACATCACAAAACAGCACATTACTGTGACAAATAATTCACCATTGCAGAATGTGTTTGTGCCAACTGAGAATGCCACTTTGAGAAATCTGTAGCCCCATTGCTCAGGCCCTCAGAGTCAGTGAAGTATCTGGGACAAGGCTCTTTGGGATCTCTTCAGGGGCTGACAGGGTTTCTGTCAGATTTCAAATATATTTAAATATTTTAAGGAAATTAATGAGAATTGCTAGTAGACCTTGGAGGTACGGAGTTAAGTTTCTGTTTAGATAACTAGGACTGTATAGACAGGAGGGAAGGGAAACCACCAGAAAGTACTTTCCCCCCCCTAAAAGGTGGCAGGGTAAGCTTTAGGCAGGGAGGCTCTGGGCTTGTCATGTGGTGGACAGCTGTGGGAGCAGTGGCCCAGCCCCTGCTGACTACTCCTCTGTGCTGTTTGTGCTAGCCACTGGGCCAACGCATGGACCAGTTAGTTCTTGACACACTGTGCACCTGACCTGCCCAATACTCTTCCTTCATGTAAATGAGTTTCTTCTTCTTCACCTGTTTCATCACAACCTTCCATTCCTGGTTACTTCTCACAATGGATGAACCTCCCAGAATCCCCCTATGTGGTGGTGACCTTGGCTAGCATAAGCTCTGGTCTACTTGTCCACCTTCATGTCCATTGTGAGTCAGCACAGTGATATATCCAAGGAAGGATTTTCTGCCATGCCCTCAGGGAGTCACTGGCCTTGGCGTCTCGTACTTGGAGTTCAAGTTAGATGCTTTTCTTCCTGGGAGCCTTAGTGAAGTATCGGTTGCCTTGACATTTGGGATCTAGCCAGCTTTAAGTGCTTTAACTCTGTTCTTCCAACCCTGTAGACTCAGAGGGCTTACCTAGCCACATGCAGCAGTGCACAGGTGTCCCAGGACACTCTGTGGCAGAGCACCCGTGTGTTTCTATTGGTCATTTGTTCTCCTTGCTTGCTCCTCCAGGTCCCTCCAGCTATAAGGTGGGCACCATGTCTGAGAAGTTTGACTGCCACTACTGCAGGGACCCCTTGCAGGGGAAGAAATATGTGGAGAAGGAAGGCCGCCACTGCTGCCTGAAGTGCTTTGACAAGTTCTGCGCCAACACCTGTGTGGAATGCCGCAAGCCTATAGGTGCAGACTCCAAGGTAAGGAACCATCATCCCCGAGCGCGAACAAGGCAGCCTAGGTGTCAGCGTATTTTCCTGCAGTCTTGCTTGCAACAACTGCCTTTTGAGGTCATGTCATAGCAGCCTTCTTAAGTATTTGTGGCCGGCTCTTTGCCGCCCCCTCCTCCCGTGCTCCTGGTGTCCCTAGCTATTAAATATGGACCTTGAACTAGATGCCCTTCTCAGCTCTTGGCTGTAATACTGAGTAGGTATTATCTGAAATGCTAGGCACCAGAAGTTTTTCTGACTTTTGGATGTTTATTATTATTATTGAATACTTAAATATATAGAATACATGTATATAAAATTTTTAATGAAATATCTTGGTGATGAGACTCAAGTCTAAACACAGAATGCATTTATGTTTCCTATATCCTGTATGTACGTAGCCTGGAGATACTTTTAGACAATATTTTAAGAATAATTATGTGAATAGAACAAAGTCTGTGCACTGTGGCTGGAGGGACTGGGAGGGTCTTGTTTCCCTCAGGGACACGAGATAAACTATGTTTTGTACGTTGAACCTGGCATCTGATGGGAGGTCTGACGTCACTGCCCGTCCCCCTCATGGCAGCTGCCCTGCTCTGCTTGATTTCCAGGAGGTGCACTATAAGAACCGCTACTGGCATGACACCTGCTTCCGTTGTGTCAAGTGTCTTCACCCCTTGGCCAGCGAGACCTTTGTGTCCAAGGAAGGCAAGATCTTCTGCAACAAGTGTGCCACTCGGGAGGACTCCCCCAAGTGCAAAGGGTGCTTCAAGGCCATTGTGGCAGGTACCGGCCCCTTCCCACCCCGAGGGCAGACACAGTGTGGGCTTGCTTGTCATGGTGGGGCTAACGTTGCTGTGAGCTGCTTTGAGACTTTAGCATATATATGTACACATATACATACACGTATATATGCGTACACATATATGCTCGCACACACGCACACACTTGGAGACTAAAGAACACTGGCAAGAGCAGCCTGTGGCAAGAGAATGAAGTGAAAAGTATGTAGCCTTTTCTCATTTGGATGTAGTAAGTGATCAGTGCATGCTTCCTCCTCAGGCTATAGTTCTGGGTCAAGCAAGCCCCCTGACGAATATCTGAGTCCCTACAGGGGTAGAGGTGGGGGGATGGGGGTTCAGGTACGTCATCCTAAATAATACTGCTGGAGTCCCCACCTACAGCAAAACTCTGGGTTGGCATGATGACAAGGAACACATGAATAGGTTAGTTGGAGGTGGGAGGCCAGTGACTGCAGGGCCTGCATCCCCTCACCTCTAGGGGTGGGCTGGGGAGCTGAGTGGATGCAGCCCCCTGCAGAGCCTGTCAGTGGGGCTATCCAATGGCTTTCCTCTGCAGGAGACCAGAACGTGGAGTACAAGGGCACCGTCTGGCACAAAGACTGCTTCATCTGCAGCAACTGCAAGCAAGTCATCGGGACCGGAAGCTTCTTCCCTAAAGGGGAGGACTTCTACTGTGTGACTTGCCACGAGACCAAGTTTGCCAAGCATTGCGTGAAATGCAACAAGGTACGTTACCAAGGGAGTTATGCGCTGACCATTCTTTCTCCAAGTGTTTGACAGTTTACAGAGCACTTGCACACACACTATCTCATTCCATCCTCAGGGTAGCCCTGTGACGTAGGAATTATTGTGCCCATTTTACAGATGAGGAGCCAGGGATTAGAAAGCAGTGCCACAGCCAAGTCTGGTTGCCAGTGTGTGCTCACTCCAGAGGCACAGGTGGCTGGTACTACGCTTTGAGCCAGGTGGAGGTCTGTCTCCACCACTTCATTTGTTGTATAGCCTTGCAAAGAGGCTCACCTTTTCTTGGCCTTGGTGTCTTCATCAGTAAATTGGGGATAATAATAGCACCCACCTCCCATGGCTGTAATGGTGATGAAATGAGATACTGTATACCAAAGCACCCAGCACAGTGCCTGGTTGTTGAATCTGAATCCCGGTGCTACACTCCCTGGTCTAGGCCATCACATCTGGAGGAATCACTTACCAGGATCAGCCCTGGCATGCCGAGTGCTTTGTGTGTGTTACCTGCTCTAAGAAGCTGGCTGGGCAGCGTTTCACCGCTGTGGAGGACCAGTATTACTGCGTGGATTGCTACAAGAACTTTGTGGCCAAGAAGTGTGCTGGATGCAAGAACCCCATCACTGGTAGGCTAAAGAGTCCTTGCTAAGTCTGCCAGGCTAGGTTATGCGCATGGTAACCATCTCTCATTTTCCTGTCGTCGGTTTCATCCACAAAAGTCCTCAGAGACTGCCCTTCTTCCCCAGCCATTGTGGTCCCAAAGGTGCCCCCAGGCCAGGTTAGCCTTTGCAATGCAGAGTACTTCCTGACTACTGCCAATGAACTAACTGTGCCAGGAGTTCACAAGCCTGAGATCCAGGCACTACACAGGGGAAAACTGGGGGTGGGGGCAGGGTGAAAGGGTGGGAGGGGGTAGTGGTGAGGGAGAGGTGAGGTGGGTGGGAGAGGGGGGCAGGGATGGGCTAGGGAGGCTGGAAAGCTATAGCCTGGCATTATAACACCCCATAGTGGAAGGATAGTGTACAGGGGCTGCTGGCAGGTTCATTTTTATTTATTTTTAATTTTTTTGCGATCAGAAGCAAAGCTAATCACCTCATTCCTCATCTCGCGGCCGCGATCCACGTGCCCTGAGCCCTTTCCCCTGCCTCCAATTTTCCCATCTCCCTGGGGAGCCTTGAAATGTACATTTGAGAAGACTTTTGCCATCCTCAGGGAAAAGGACTGTGTCAAGAGTGAGCCACCCAGTCTCTAAAGCTAGGAAGCCCCCAGTGTGCCACGGGAAACGCTTGCCTCTCACCCTGTTTCCCAGCGCCAACCTCCGGGGCAGGCATCCGGGTGGAGAGAGGACTTGTCCCTCGTGGGTGGTGGTTCTTTATAGAAAAAATCGAAGCTTAGCAGCTCCTCATGGCCCGGTAAGTGCATGCCCCACAAACAGCCCAAGTTTGCCTCCTGGTGGCCACTTTGATGCCATGGCCCTGACCTTAAAAAAAAAAAAAAAAAAAGACACTGGTTATGATGGGAGGTCGGTGTGCGGCGCAGGGGTGATAGTGGTTGTGGCATGGGAATGGGGTTCTTTAAATCGGAGAAGCCATTGGCTGAGCTCTGGAATCTTTTCAGGTCCTTGAGAGCCATAGAAGGGTTGCGGCGGCGCGGGGGACAGTGTGGCGGCGCGGGGGACAATGCGCGGTGGAGTAGAGGGGAGCAGAGAGTCTGGCAGACACTGACCGTGTGCTTGTCGGCTCTGTGAACAGCGATGGGGTCGTAATTTGATTTCTGACTCCTGGCTTTGTCATCTGTCTTCATTCAGCTGTCTCTCTGTTTTCTTTTGTTTTTCCACAGGGTTTGGTAAAGGCTCCAGTGTGGTGGCCTATGAAGGACAATCCTGGCACGACTACTGCTTCCACTGCAAAAAATGCTCCGTGAATCTGGCCAACAAGCGCTTTGTGTTTCATAATGAGCAGGTGTATTGCCCCGACTGTGCCAAAAAGCTGTAATTTGACAGGGGCTCCTGTCCTGTAAAATGGCATTTGAACCATGCTTTGTGTCCTTGCTCTCTCTCTGCCCTGTACCATCCATAGGGGAAGAGTGGGCTTTCACCTCTTTAAAGTTGCTCCTTCTGTCTTTCCTCCCATTTTACAGTATTACTCAGCTAAGGGCACACAGTGATCATATTAGGATTTAGCAAAGAGCAACCTTGCAGCAAAAATGTCTGTGTCGCTGCAATGGAAAAACAAAAACTTAGATTGACTCTTCTGCATGTTTCTTATAGAGCAGAAAAGTACTAACCATGTAGCCACTTCGTGATGTAAGCAAGAAGGTGATAGAGCCCCCACTGAGATGCCTATCGGGGCTCAGCTGGGAACCAGTGTGTAATCACAGACGTGCTAGAGTTGCAGCGGCTGCTCCAACTCCCTGCTCACCCTCTGCCGTGAGCAAGAAAGAACTTGCCAGAATGCATGGTTTAACGTCCTCATCAAAACTCTGCCCTTCTATTCTTTTGTGCTTTCACATGACTAACATGAATTTCCAGAAAACTAACATTTTGAACTTAGCTGTAATTCTCAACTGACCTTTCCCCATACTAACATTTGATTCCCCCCATGTGGCATGTTTTCTGAGCGTTCCTATTTTAAAGCATGGAACACACAGGTGATTTAGAAAGTCTAAGCAGATCTGAGAAAACGAGCCTGTTTCAGAACATGGTCATGGTGAATATTTCTGGAAACTTAAGAAAACTAACCTTCCTGCCCCTTTTATTTTTTTTTAATTAATGATATTTTTGTTTTAACTAATAGTAAAATAGTTTATGGGTTTGGAAACTTGCATGACAATATTTGAGTCTCCTCAGACGTTCCTGCAGTTTTGAGATTCATCCTATAGAAGTAACTATAAAACTCTAGAGGGGTAGCTGAGCAGTGCAGGGCTGTCATCAACGGGAATATGACATTTCAAAACCGTGACAGGTTGAATCCCTTGTAACATAGTTGTTGTCTGCTCTTTGTCCATGTGTTCAAAGAAATTACAAAGTCCCTTTTCTTGTGATTCTTAGGACTTTTCCTCAAGAGTTTAGCTGGATCTCTGGGGATGTGGGGTGCTCACCGTCTTTCATAGGCGGAACTAATTTTCCACCTCCTACTTCCCTGAAATGCAGGATTACCTACTTAACTGTATTCTCTGTTGCGATATTACATATATAACGAGACAGTATCAAAGTAAACATGTAATGACAATACATATTCATATTCTTGTAGAAGTGGTTGTAGACGCTGATGCCTCATTTCCACATATTGTCATTAGCTGTTATCATCTAACGTTTCAGTGTATCCTTACAAAAATAAAGCAGCATAGAAAGAACTCGTCTCCTGTCTTTTTATTCCGCCCAGAGGAAGCACAAGGGTGTAGGGGACAGGGGAGTACTGAGTGAGAGGTTGTCCTAGCGTGCGGCTCCCCACCTCTGCAGCTTCTAGATGACCACCTGCCTGCGAAGTTGGCTCACCTGAAGTGCCTGTTCTCAGGCCACCCTACCCCTGTGGTTATTTGAGGAAGGGCCTTCTGATGCATGTGAAAAGCCAAGAAACACTGGGGTCTGAGTGGTCTTACTTTTTTGTTTTTGGTCTTTTTGAGAGACAGGGTTTCCCTGTAGCCCCAGCTGTCCTGGAACTCACTATGTAGACCAGGCTAGCCTTGAACTCATAGAGATCCACCTGCCTCTGCCTCCCGAGTGCTGGGATCAAAGGCGTGCGCCACCAGCCCGGCTGCTTTGTTTTTAAACTGAGTCATTTAACACTTGAGAAGGGAACTAAAACCTGTCAGACGCCACCACAAGCTCTTCTTTTTCTTGTCCTATGGCTTGAACCCTGGCCTCTTATGACTAACACCCCGCCCCCGTCGTGTGTCTCTCCTGGAGAAGTGCATGTTAAAACACTCTAAACCAGTGCAGGAAGGGTATCAGGTTTCTGAGGCCCTGTCACTGCACCACACCAGCTCCTTCCACCTCTCTGTATGCCACTGGCCAGGCCCTGGACCTTTTCAGCACATAGCATGGCCCTTCTGCCTAGCATTACTTCCCTTCTGGGAGCACTTCTATCACTTGCTCCACATTTTACAACTGTCTGCCCCTCTGCCCACTGCCTTCTTCACCCAAGAAACCGTGGCCCACCAGGCATCTCTCTCTGCCATCACTCCTACCACATGATGCTTACCCCTGATACCTAAGCATCTTCAGAAGCAAACTCCTCATCTACATTGGGTCTGGTTCTTAACAGCCAATTGGCCGCCCATTTCTCAGGTGATAAAATGCAAGTTCAGAGAGATAAAGGTACACAGTTCATTGAAGAAGGGACACCCTGTTCAGGCCACTAGTTTGTGTGTGTGTGTGGTCGGGGGGGTTATCACATGGTGCCCACAACCTTAGACGACAACTGTTACCGCACAGTCAATGGAAGCATTTTCTGCTATATAATAATAAAAAAAAAAAATCAGAATCTGAGAAACAGCAACTTATAACTAACAGGGTGATGACTGAAGCTAGGTTTCCTGGGTTCAAATCCTGGGCAAGTGATAACTCATTGAACTTATTTCTTTACCTATAAAATGAGACAAAATGGCTACCTTTCAGAATTGAGTGCATATGACAATCATGGGAGTACTTAGTGGGGTGACTTAGATATCTGTTGAAACTGCAATAAATGCTAGTAAAGATTCTGTCCTCACCACCAAAGCCATTGCTCTGATGTCCCTGACATATTCTACATGCCATAACGCTATTCTACTTGAGAGTCATGTGGAGGGTTGACCCAAGCCAGACAGACCTGGATTTGAACACCAGCACCATCAGTTTCTTAAGTTGTCAGTGTCCACAAACTACAATGTAGGTAGAAATACACACAATTGATAGAGCTGTTGTGAGAACTTAAAGTGTTGCCTCTAAAGAACATGGCACTTTGTGTGTGCATCGATACCAGACTACAATGACTGCAATACAGCTGGGGATGTTGGAAGGAGAGGAGTGGCTAGAACCCATATGGAAACATTCAGTGGAATGCTGGGAAGGGAGACCTGAGGCCTACTTTGACTAATCAGGTGAGGATGGAGAGGCACTGAAAATGGCACAAAACATTGACCTGGCAAGATAAAATGTGATGGGGTTTCCTTCTAACACTGACAACTTGGAACTAACTGTGTGGTCTTACCTCTTCTGATGCCCTGCCTCTGGCCACACTGAGTGGCATTTGGGAATGCTGAAATTGCAGGACTGAAAATGCACAAAGACTAATGAAGTTTCCTCACCTGATAGATAAGGAAGAGGGCCCAGAGGAAGGCAACATATGGTGACTGGTCACACATGGTGAGCTGGCAGCCATCTCAGCTGGGGCTCCAGTTTTCAGCTGGGGTCCTTTGCAGTACCTTTGCTGCATATTGGAGTTTGGGTACTGAGACTCTTCAGTTTCGTTCCACTGGAGGTGTCCTGGTGACAGAGGTGTAGGAAATGTGCTGCATTACAGATTCTGCTGGTAGTAGCCAGAGATCTGTCCCTCAGAACACAAAAGGAAGGAAGGTGTGAAGGGGCCAACACATGGATGGTGGGCCTTGGGTTGCAAACAGGACACAACTCTAACAGATGGATCTGCAGGACCCGGTGCCAGACTAGGCTGTGAAAAGCTCCTAGTTTGGATGAAGTATATAGAACTGGTACCTTTGGCAGGAATAGGGTGTGTCTAGCTCATTCTGATTCATATACATACCTACGTATATTTATATATAAAGTTCTAGCATGTTAGCTGGAGAGATGGCTCAGTGGGAAAGCTACTTGCCTGTTTGATCACCACTGTAACCTACATGGTAGAAGGAGAGAACAAACTCCTACAGGTTGACCTACCTCCACACGCATGCTGTGGTCACCCTGTCCACCCCCACACAAAGTAAATGTAAAAAAATAAACAAAAGCTCCAGAATACTAAGGGGAATGGTTGCAGCATCCTTATAAACCCCAGACTGGGGATAAACAAGAGGCTGACTATCCAAAACAAAACCTAGTACTTAGTGCACTAAAGCATGACTAAGGGATTGAATTTAATTTGTTCACTTGGGATCTTTCCCATCTCCCTGCCTCAGTCTCCCAAAATGCAGGGATTACAGGTATTGTATTATCATGCCTGGTGTAAAGTGTACTTTAAGATCAGAAGCTTGAGTCAGCAAAATAACTCAGTTGCTAAGCACCTACTGCACAAATCTCATGAGCAGAGTTCGATCCCTGGAATTCACGTAAAGATGAAAGGAAAGAACTGACTCTGAAAATTGTCCTTTGACCTCCACATGCTCACTGTAAGTAACATGCATTCCCACACACTCACACATGCACAAATAAATATTGGAAGCCAAACAAATATACAGGCATATCAGATCATATGTAGTCACACTAACGTGACCGACCACACAAACTGCCTGAACAGAAACTTTAAAAAGCAAATAAAGCCGGGTGTGGTGGCACATGCGTTTAATCCAAGCACTCAGGAGGCAGAGGCAGACAGATCTCTGTGAGTTCCAGGACAGCCTGGTCTACATAGTGAATTCCAGGACAGCTGGGGCTAAAAGGAGACCCTGCCTCAAAAAGACCAAAAAAAAAAAAAAAAAAAAAAAAAAAAAAAAAAAAAAGCAAATAAATGTGGGTCCTCGGACAGAACTCCTATGTTAAACTTCACCTACCCAGGACTCAGGGAGCATTGTGGAAGAGGGGGCAGAAAGATTGTAAGAGCCGGGGGGGGGTACCTGAGCATATGGAAATAGTCTTACAGGCTCCTGGGACCTTGCTCATAGGAACTTAGAGCAATGGTGTCAGCATGTACAAGACCCACACAAACTCAAGAAGACAAAAACCCAGCGCAGAACTGGGGAAATGGACAGCAGGCCCCAACCTTAGCTGAAGAACTATTGGACAAATGATTACCACTGGGTGAGGAAGAGCTGATCTTCTTTAGGGGAGTGACTCTACGTAGGCTGACTAGACCCCAGTGGATGAACTTGCACTGAGGGACATTTGAGGACACTAACCTGACTTGATAGGCCTTAACATAAATGATGGACTGCATGAAATCCAGTGGGAAGGGTATAGAGATGATTAAAATGTTGTATATGAAATATACAAAAATTCAATTAAAAGTATACAAAGAGAAAAAGCAAACAAGAGAAAGTGGAGAGATGGCTCAGTTGATAAAAAACTTGTCCCTAAAGCATAAGACCTGAGTTTGATCCCTAGCACCTATGAAAAACTTGGGTATGGTGGCTGTGTACTGGCAATCCCAGCCCCAGGGAGGTAGAGATAGCCAAACAGTGAAGCCCCAGGCCTAACTGAGAGACCCTGTCTCAAAAAACATGATGGATGGGGCTAGAGAGATGGTCCAGTAGTTAAGAACACTGGCTGCTCTTGCAGAGGATCCAGGTTCAGTTTCCAGTATGCACATGGCAGCTAACGATTGTCTGATTGTCTGTAACTCCAGTTCCAGGAGCTCTGACACCCTCTTCTGGCCTCCATGGGCATTGCAGAGGCTAGTATATATATATATATATATATATACAAAACACTCATACACATAAAATAAATAACATTGAGATTGATCTCTGGCTTACACACACGCACACACACACACACAGAAATCCATATGCACATGAACATATACATACACTCAGACTCCCACACATGTATGCTTTCCTCATCAAAGGCAAATACCAAATCTAAGGTTTAAAAGGTTCGGGGTAGAGGGAACAAAGAAAGACCCAGGCTTAAATAAATAAATAAGGAAATAACTAACAAAATGGAGACTTACATGAATTTCACCATGGGGAAAAGAAAGCTGCTTGAACAATGAGCCTCAAGTATAATTAAAAGCTCTAAGAGGGGTGAATAAGGAAGATAGGAGTTTGAAAATTCACACTTTCCTGCCTCAAACATAGAACTCTGCTCAGTCACCAATGAGGTAGATTGGGAAAGTAGAGGTAATTTACCCTTTACTGACCTTGCTGGTTGCCTACATTCATAGTTTCCTTACTGTCATCTTTACACTAATACCCAGTGCGTTTTTATTATGATGAAAACAAAACTTGTTTTATCTGAGTTTATTTCACGTGGCATACTTGGGTGTTTTAATACATGACATTTGTATAGGAAGAGTAACAGAAGCTCATTTTTTAGGATTATTGCCTTCTGCCTTCTGCACAAAAGAGCTAGTGTATAAAAAGGGGCTTTATATGTAAGACATTCTGCTGTAATTTATAATAAAGGTAGCAAAGACCAAGAATCAGAAAACATAATTGCCTCCTTTCAATAATCCAAGACTGGTGTTCAAAGGAACAGTATTTAAGCTCGTTGGCATTAGGATAAGGAATATGCATTCCAGTTCTGTGGAATCACATATCCTGTGTTTATGCATACATGTGTATATACATGTGCATATGCACATGGATGTACATTTGTGTGCCTGGCACAGGGACTGAAGAATAGCATTGATTTGTCTTCACTTACAGCTATTGCTGAGAGAAAATCAAGCACGTTTTGGTTACATGTCCCAAGCCTGAGTGTATACTGAATGGGGTCAGTAACAGGGAACAAAGCAGAAAAGATTATAGGTACTCAACATTTACAGGAATTAATCATACTCCATAAGACAACATTCAAATATTGCTTTATGTATGTGAGAGAAATAATCCATAGTTTTGCATATAAATCCTGATATTTACTTTAAGATAAAACATTGAACACTGATGAGAGTATGAAAGATGTTGATGACTTTAAGGTTATATTTTTTAGTACTGGCAGATGGAGGGATCAGCACAACACTGATGACAGCTGAACTGAAAACATTTACGTATAGATAGATAGATAGATGATAGATAAATAGATGACAGATAGATGGATAGATAATAGATGATAGATGGATAGATAGATAGATAGATAGATAGATAG